CACACACACACACACACACACACACACACACACACGCACACGCACACACATATAGGGGACAGACACGCAAGGGACAGAAAGTAAGAGGCAGGTGCCAGCAACACCCTCCAACCACCTCCGGAAGATATCAATGGTAAAGACAAAAATAAAATTGTGTCACAATAAAGTGGAATCAGGCGACGGTCAATTTTGGGCATATGGAGTTGTTGGTATTATCTTAAAGGTTATTCATTTGCCTTGCTTTTGATGTTAAAATATACATTCATTTTGCATAGAAGAAGAGATGTTTGTGATTGAAGGAGGTGGGATCACCTGGTTCCATAAGTAAAATTGGCGAGAAAATGGTCACCAAAGTTTGGTGACTTCCATAGCATAAGACTCCTCGGTAACAGCAAATTTACATTTTTTGTGCCTTTAATCAATGTTTTTCAATAAAATCCACGTATAAACGTGTTTTTCAATGGACATACAAGGTGTTGAGCCAAACATTTGAAAAACAAATATCCAAACTGGCAGAAAAATGCCGATTTCTCGGATTTCATCATTTTGACGAGCGCCTGATTTCACCGCGATGTGTCACAATTAGGCAATGTGAAGATTGTTAAGATATCGATGATCTAGATGAAGATGATCAAAATGTAGATGGTCAGCTTACTGGACTGGAACACAAACACTGTGGCGAGGGAGGTAAAACACATAGTCACCACCACAGCAAATTTCACCTTGTGGTCCAGCCAGGAGCAAGTCATCACTGGAAAAACACTGAAAAAAACACAACAACCCCAAAACACTTACACACACACACACACACAGAGAAAAAAAATTGAGACAGAAAATGTGTATGCGTGTATACTATATTATATACACGGCCAGGAATGTGGGTGTACGTTTAATGAGCTGCTAGAGGGTGTGTACACATGGCCCAGAACCGCGCGCATTTAAAGTACTTGACACACAATTTATTGGGAGCTGGTCCTCGAACCGCGGTCATTACCGGAGGAACATTATTAATAGTCGGTGTGCCACGGAGCGCTGGCAGAGGAGGTACAGCACAATGAAACTAGTCCTGGTTTTCGGAGGGGGGTGGGGTTGTTCGTTCGTTTGTTTGTCTGTTTGTTTGTTTTAGTAAACATTATCGTAAAAAATGTTGCCAGGACTTTCTGTTTCTTTGTCTTTATTTCTGTCTCTGTGTCTCTGTCTCTTAGAATGTATGTATGTATGTATGTATGTATGTATGTATGTATGTATGTATGTATGTATG